AACAAATTAATTTACATCCTAAATTCTATTTATTTCTGTATAAAAAATTTCATAACAAAATTACTTTTACATTGAAAGACCGAAATGAGCTTAACGACAAGTAATTTAATTTCCAAAAAGTTAAACTATGTAAATTGATAATGAACAATACTGTTATCATAAAATGAAGTGATGTATGACTTTTTTTGATTTTCTATTCCATCTGTAATAATCTTTTATTTTCATTAGTATTATACACATTTACTTTTTGAAAATGAGTTTGTACATAAATTCCACACTGTGTTAATGAACAGTGAATCGAGCATAGGGTCATTAACTCTTTTTGTAGAAAACAAACTTGCTAAAAAACTTAAACCAGAAAAAGTCATCGAAACCGTTTAAAATCGACCTTCATTCAGAAGAATTATGATGCCTCATAGTGAAGGTCGAAATTCTTCGAAAGTCACGAGGTCCATCCTCAATCAAACAAACAGGGTATCAATTAATATAGGTACATGGAATGTCTGGACAATATAGGAAACTGGAGGGACCAGTCAAATTGCAACAGAAATGAGGAAATACAACTTGACGGTTCTCAGAATAAGTGAAACGCATTGGACACAAGCTGAACAGAAAATGACAGATTTGGAAGAGATTTTGATGTACTTTGATCATGAAAAAGTATTTGCTTCGATCGCTTAGGGAGTTGCACTGATGCTGTTCAAATAAGTACGAAATGCACTGGTAGGATAAGGGTCTCATGGATCCAGATTCATCAAAGCATGATTCATAACAAAGAAGAAGGGAATGACGATGAATGTTATCCAGTGTTATGCACCCACCAATGATTACAATGAAGACGATAAAGATCAGTTTTACGATCATGCTCAGGAAACGACCTGACCATCCTGATGGAAGACCTAAACACTGAAGTAGGAATGGAGAACACAGAGTATGTAGATATCATGTGACGATACTGACTGTGAGAAAGGAATGAGAATGGTGACAGATATGCAAATTAATATGCATTCAACAAAATGGCTACAGGTGACACAATATTCCTCCACAAGCGTCAACACATTCATATATATGGGTCTCACTGGATCACACTACACAGAACCAGATCGATCAAATTTGCATGACTGAACAATGCAGAAGGCCGTGAGAACTAGGAGAGGAACAGAAATAGTTTCAAATCACTACTTGCTAGTGTTTTCTGAGATCAAACTAAAGCAAAAAAAGAAATGGACGACTGGAGGAACAGTATTACAAATGTTCAACACAGCTTCCATTCGACATACTGATAAACTCTCTCTTGGCCTTAATAAATGATTTTATTTTCCACACTCTTTCTTCATTTATTTTTCTTCACCCTCTCCTAACATTTTTTTTCAAACATACGTTTCACGGTCCAATTATCTGGACAATTCTTACTACATAATCTTATTATTTTTATGGATGTTATTTCAGTGTCTATATTTTTCTAATCATTTACCTATTTCCCACTATGTAACATTGATTCAAGCCCTAATTATTCTTATCACAACTAATACAGCTGTCATCACACTACCAATCTGTACCTTTTACTTATTATGTTTAGTTATGTAATCTATTCCATGTAATCTATGTAATTTTTTCTATTGACTGAGAAACTGCCTTGATTGGTTAAATAATTTCGTATATGTATATAAATATTACTGTACATTAGAGTAAAGCTTGATGAAGGTCAAATGGAAAACAATACTGTTCGCTTATATATATTGTCCTTAATCCAAGATAGCTCTGGCAACAGGTTCCGAACCTTACAAGATTTACTGGAAGAAGAAGAAAGTACTATGAAGGGATTGAAGAAGCACTAACCTCAGCATGTCAGGAGGTTCTGAGGCCTCAAAAAGCGTCATCATAAGGAGTGGGTTTCTATCGAAAACCTGTACAGGGCTCGAGAAAGCAAGAACATGGTGACAGCAATTAACAACAGTCGAACAAGAACAGAGAAAGTGAAGGCACAAGCTGAATACACAGAAATGAATGAGAGAGTGAAGAAGAGCATGAGAGCTGCAGAACGGAATTACATGGAAGACCTAGTAACGGCAGTGGAAAATGCTGGAAGTGTCAATGGCAGACTTGACCGATGGATACCTCATCAAGATAGAAAAGAAAGGAGATTTGATCAAGTATGAGACTTAACTACAGTGCATAACACTATCATCGGCATCGAGAAACGTTTTCAACGGAGTGTTGCTGAACCGGGTGAAAGATTCAGTAGACACTCAGCTTCGAAATCAGCAGATTGGAATTCGTAAGTATCGATCGTGCACTGATCAAATCGCGACATTACGGATCACCGTTGAACAATCAATTGAATAGAAGTCGTCACTATACATCAAATTCCTTGATTATGAGATGTTTGACAATGTGAATGGGATGACCATATGGAACCTTCTTCGACATTATGGACTCAACATTCACAAGGATAAAAGCAAGATCCTCTAATAAAACATGGAGAACACTAACCCAATTTCACCTGATGGGGAAACTGTGGAAGAGTCGGGAGCTTTCACATATCTTGGACAAGGAAGTTTCGATGCATATGTGAAGGTAAGGGGTGTCAAATCAAGGACAGCATTCTTACAGTTGAAAAGCATATAGAACTTAAAACAATTGTCAGCTAACATCAATGTCAGAATCTTCAGTACAAGTGTCAAGACAGTTGTACTGTAAGGAGCTGAAACTTAGAGAACTACTATAACCACTGTCAAAATAGTACAAGTATTTGTATACACTTGTCTACGCAAGATACTCATTTCCCATTAGGTGTATACGAAAACTTTCTATGAGAGAGAATATACATGTTTTCAACTGAAGAGGAAGTCGGGAAAAGACGTTTGAGGTAGATAAGACATTCATTGCGGAAATCCTCAAATTACATCACGAGGCAATGACTTAGTTAGAATACTTAGTGTAAAAGGAAAAGAGGATGACACAAGAACACATGACATTTAGAATCGGAAACAAGCATCAACAGAGTGCATAACGATGGGAAACAAGTGGAAATGAGAGCTCAGGATAGAATTGCCCAAGTTCCACGAAAGCCAACAGGTGTAAGTATTTCTGATTTCGTAAAAAAAATCATCATTAGGTACGGTTATTTCTCTGACTGTTTTTATGAAGAACTAAACGATTGAGTAACAAAATCAGCAGAAGTATATTTTGCCATAGTATATCTTATTACAAAGTCTTATTTTATGTTGTCCGTGACCATCATTGAAGGTATGATTTAAAAGCAAACCACCTACAACCTGTCAATATTGATTGCTTGAGAGGTTTGTTGAAATCAATTTGACTTGAAGTTCATATCAATTGAGGAATTGATGAAAAGTAAATGACTTTTTTCTTAATGCTGAACACATTGTACGAGGTTATGACAGGTGAAGCTTATTCATGTTGGAAGGAAAACAGTTATTCACCAATAGTACAAGATAAATTCATTACAAATTAAGGGAGGTCAAAACTGTGAAATACGGAATTTCAGCTCAGTGTTATAGATATTATCCACTCGTTTGAAACCTTAAAGTCTTGATTTTTCATCCTTGGTACCCTCGTCGTTAATACATATTACTGAAATATTCCATACTCAAATGAAATAACCTATGTACTACAAATTTACAAACAAATTTCCAATCAAAGATAAATCAAAACAGCACTTGATTATTATTATTTTTTGATTAACTTTCTATGTCGTCTAAAAAGTACATTCAGTTCTTGTTTAATAAGAATTAGTATTCTTTTCTTTTAACCATGTTTCTCTATTTATGTTAATGTAAACTGTATTCCTATCATTAAAAATAAATAATTAGAAAACCCAAAACATAATAAATATTACGGAGAATAATTACAGTTTTTTTTTAAATAATTTGATTATTATATGAATTCATAGTTAATCCTTTCCATTATAGATTATTGATAATATCACTATTTCATCCATTGTCTTCTCACAATACCATACTACTGAAATAATCTAAATCAGTAGTTTTAGGAGTATCAAATGTATCTATATCAATTTTGTCTAGAATAAAGACATTATACATGAAAAGAACCAGAATAAAAAATTGGTAATATGATTGTGATATTTCATATAGGCTTTGATAAATTCAGCACATTGAATATGTCTTATAAATGTACTAGTTGTACCATGGCATTTTAGTATGTTTGTTTTGATGTTTACAGATATGTGTTAAATATTACATAACAGATTACACGAAGTAATATAAGTATATAAAGTATAAAAAAAAGAATGACAAAACTAAAAAGCAAAATTTAATAAACTTCTTCTAAAGAATGAAAGTTTCAGTATTCAATATATTACTGAAATAAAATGATAAATAAAAAGAAATAAAAGAGCACAACCACTTGTTTTGTAATTCACCAAACAAAAAAAAATAATTTTTTTGTATTTTCACAACCAAATTACATTTCACTAAAAAGTAAATAATAACAATAAGGATAATGATAATAATAATAGAATAATGATAATTTCCGAAGAAAAGGTTTCATAAAACCTTTTTTTCGCTTTTTTTTTACTTTTTAGTAAATTTAATCAATAATGTAAGAAGGTGTAATAAATTGAAATTAAAAAAAAAATTTTTCTTCTTGTTCACAACCTTATTCACTATATGTAATGGGAAAAAGATTTTTCATTTATTGTATATTTGATTATAAATAAATGAAATTATAAATGGTTATTTTGTAAATATCCGAGATATAATAGTTATTAGTAATTAATTATGAGCAGTTGAATATTAACAATGATACAGGTAATATTGAAAGTAGATTATTTATTTATTTAAATGTATACAAAGATACAATTTCAAAAGAGGGAAACAAACGAACAAACATTTCATTTGAAACAAATGAGGAATTGATTTGTGAGTACAATATTTTTTTGTTAGAAAATTAATTACCTGAGTAACTATCCCCTCTTTTTCTTTCTTTTCTTTTTTTTTAGAAAAAAGAAAACAATTTTATGTTAAATTAGGATTTTTCCATTCATGGTCATAATTTCTTTTTTTGAATTGATCTGATTTAATATTACCAATATTATTTTCATCTGTATATTGTTTTAATGTATTCGATTGTTGATCAACTAATCTTTGATATGGTGATAAATAATTATTTATATTATCTAATGAATTAATTATATCATATTTAGGTTTATATTCATTGGTTGCAATTAATTTTTCATTATTTATTATTGATTTTTTTTCATTATCTGGATTATTGATTGATTGTTTATTGATTTCTGTTAAATTAATTAATTTATTATTATTATCATTATTATTCTTATTAGGTAATTCTGTAATTATATTTTGATAATTATTTATTGTAATTGTTTCATTTTCAAAAAATGTTGAATTATAATTTTTTAATCTATATTCACGTAAAAATTCAACTACATTATATTCTGATGAACGTGGAATTAATAAACCAAATGCTGCACATAAATGTATAATTAAATAAAATATAAAAAATATTCTATCCATAACAATAGCTATCATACGCCATTCTTTAATAATAATATTTTCTTCATCTTTTTTATTTATTCTTAATAAAAATAATTTAATAATTGAACGTATATTATCTACTTCAGTTTCTATAGTTTTCATTAAAATTAATAAAGTTGATGTCATTTGTAGATGTTGTAATGCTTTTTCAGAATTGACATTTGTTATAGTTGAATTAGTAGTATATATTGGATTATTAAATGAATTTGATATAGTTTTAATTATAGATGATGATTTTATAGGTAAATTTGTATGATTAGTAGTTAATTCATTATGATCTAAATAATTATGTCCATATGGTGATATTAAAGCTGGTCTACCATTACGATATTCATATCTAATATGTGAACATAAAGAATTATTATCGAATGGTATAGATGGATTAGTCATTGAATGACGATTAATAGAAAAATAATCATTAGTATGTGTTTTATACATTAATGCATTGAGATGTTGTTTACAGACATTACAATTTTCAGGATGTTTACCATGTTTTGAACTTTGTATTCTTGGATTTAATGTTCTTGGATTAGTGGAAGCACTTATAACTGGTAATGGACTACAAATAGTACAATGAGTTGATGGTACATATGATCGATAATAATATTGACAACATGTGCATGGTTGTTGAGAATTACCTAATATATCACAATCATTAAATTTTGATGGAGTTAATGAACGACTTCTTATTTTTGATAATTTTGAATGACATTGACATTGTTGACATTGTTGTGTATTTAATTCTTTGTTAAAGTTATCCGCTTCAGTTTGCGTTTCACAATGACGCTGATTTGGTCGATATCGTTTCTTTTGGATAGTATTAGTATCATAATCATAATTATCTACAATTAATGTTTTTAATCCACTATTCTCTTCTACCATAGCAAAACGTGCTTTACCCTTTTTAGAACGCTTCATTTCAGTAACAGCTCCAGTATAATTTGATATATCTTGTTGTTCATTATTTGAATTAACTAATGCTGACTTCTTCGTTTGTACCAGTTGTGATGAATAATCGTTTTTAGTTTGACTAGCTGTTGTGGAATTTAAATTACTAATAACAACACCCATAGGTGTATTCTGATCGCCTTCTTTACAGCTGTATTTGCCATCACAAAAACCATTCAGAATGTGACATATCTAAAAAATATGTAAAAATAACATTCCCCAAAAATCAGTCAGTTCACTGAAGTAACATGTATTACAAAAAAGCAATTCTGTTTTTTTATTTCATTCGTGTAGCAAATATTATTTCTCTGTCATTACATCATATACAAACACTGATTGTCCAACGTTACAGCAAAATGAAATTCAACATTTTAAAACCTATTTAGCGTATAAAACGAATTTGTTTTTTATGCTTAAACGACATTATCAGTAGATGCTTGGTCAACTGGAAATTGATTGTTGACTAAATATAAGAAGGCTAAACAACAAATCCATTTATCTGATAACAAGTTATGTTGAAAATTCAGATACTAATATCAAATATTAGTTAAATGTGAGCTAATCTTATTCAAATAGAATTTTCTCTATCGGTTTTCATCATATATATATTAAAATCCTTCTTCCATGTGTTATACAATCATGAGAAGCCATTTCAATTACTATTACTCTTACGTCAGTCAGAGAACCTATGCTAATTTCACACTACTAAGCAGTCAATCAGTTCTTTTTTTAAGCATAATACGACTTACCCTTCTCAAGCACTGCGGTACCCGATTTCGTTTATCACCACGAAAATAAAGATTAATCACAAATACAGAGAGAAAAGAAGATAATGTGATCAGAATCATGTTCAAACAGTAGTAGTAACCTGTAAAAAACGAAAAATGACAGATAATTGGTCAAAATTCACCGGTTTACGAAGATTTTAAAGAGTCTAATGTATTACATTTCATATATATTGTTAAATACATAGAATACAGCATTATAAAACCATATAACAAACCAATGAGAATAACTTTGAAGTCATTCAATCATGAAAAATGAAGTTGAGAATAATTGTGGCAAAAAATATTAGTATTCCTATTAGTATTATAACTTATTATTATTATTAGCTCTATGAACAAATTCTCCATCAAAAGAAAGCATATTAAATGTTAAGTAAACAGTTTTAACTGACAGATCTTTAAGTAGAAGCTTCTTATAAATCATAGTATTGCTACTCATTTCGTTTGTCTATTCGTAGCTGATAAAATCACGAGATAGAATACAACCAAATCGATTAATATTGATGATAATCGATTAAGAGAATCTCCAAGAATAACATCAGATTTCAGTTTGTTTTTTTTCCGTGGAACATTGAGAAACAATAACAGTTTACTACCATTCAGTTTAAACTATCAAACTTAAATGATGGAGGCGAATATTAAGTATCAACTGTTAGAATGATAAGTAACGTCTTCAGTATATTAAATTGTGGTACATTGTTTTTGTATCAAAACATTTAGATGTAGACAGATAATTTTTACTTTGTATTATTATTAGCTAACTGTTCGTTCTACAGCAAATGTATTATCTGATAAGCACTATTTCCTTACAATAGTTTCGTCAATATAAGGATTTACTAGAAAAATATACAACTTACCAATATATGGAACACTATTTGAGGCTTGTGGTGTAGAATCGGCCAATAATAACAACAATAAAAAGAAGGCCACAAATATATTCATTCCTTGAATGTTTCAGCAAATACAACAAAGGTCATATTATTTAAAGATTGTTTCACATGAATAAATGAAATACAGTTATATGTCTTACAAAATGTGTTAAAAATCTAATTTATAGCATTATATATGATAATAAGAATAATAAATTGACTTAGATCTTATAAATACATATTATAGTGAAGATAAAGATTTCTAAACGCTGAAATTCTAATATTGAACAAGTTCATATACTAACTGTCATCAGTAATAGTTTAGTTTAACCAATAGTAAAACGCATTCCAAAATGAACTAATGTAAACAAAGATGCCGAATATTTACTACATAGTAAGTGAAAGCTAGATAGAAAGTAGGCAAGCTATTTCATTGATGGATAGTATGAATCTAGATACTACGTTGACGGCATTACATGCAAAATACCATGAACTTTCGATTGAGGTAATGACTTGCATTAATTATTGTGTAAACAAATATTTGTTTACGAAATCATTAGCATGAACAGTGACGCTGTATCAATGAGATGAATACAACTGTGTATAGAGTTTCTGGTTTAGATTTTGATCAGTAGTCATTTTGTTTTTAGCAATGCAAAGTTCTGACTCTAGATTTTCGTCTATTATCCGAGATCTAAACATGTGTGTATTGAAGTTCACGAATAAAATTGCTTATTCACAAATGTAAGTTGAGTCAAAAAACTGAACGTCTTGCGTGCAAAATCTTCCAGCTTATGAATGACGAATATAACTCTGATATGATGACCAAAAATTTGACCTGACAATCGGATCTTAATCGATTGGAGAGAGTAATCTATAAAGTGCTGTTTTCTCAATCGCCAACAATGTCTTATCATGTTCGTTACGCGTTATTACTTTATACACAAGCATACCATTTAATAACATAGAAATTTATTTATCTAGCGAGTGATATTATCTTTCATCACTACCTATTCGGAGGCGTAAGTCAACAATAGAGTTTCATGCGCGGCTATCACTGCGTCAGAAGAAGAAGGAATTATTAGCACATTAAATTTTGGTCTGAACACCTTGAAATCTCTAACAAATCGCAGTTACGACTTTATTTCTGAGCAGGTTCTATTTGTGCTCAAAATATGATGAAAGGAGCGTAGTCGCTTGGACAGACAGCTATGTTGAATTTTGAACTAAATTCTATATAGCTTTTAAAGAAAATTTAGTTTTTTCTTGGAATAATTTCGAAATATCTCATTTCTGTCAGGTTTCGCATACATTTCCGAAAGATTTCATACGCTTTATTCTGACTGTTTACTTGTGGTCTACCCACCACTGCATGAGATAAAGAAATAAACATTTTTATCATAGTTAATTTACACTGAGCTTGCTTACCAAGAACCATCTTTGCAGGTGATTCTGGAGGTAACCAGAAAATGACAAGTGTCAATGATGCCAGTAACACACATGGTAGAACCAAAATATATGAAAAGAATGCAGCATTCCTTCTTAGGCTGTAAAATATTTTTGAAATATCAACACTTTTGAAACAGATTCATATAGATAACGCAATAAATAGGATTTAATAGTGAACGGATACTTTTAAATTGAAAATTTGCAATTCAGGTTGAATCTGTTATGTGAAAAACACACTGCGTATCCGAGTTTTAAATGTGAGTTATTTGGTTTGTGAGTACGTGAGAGATGACATTTAAAGAGAATTCTGATCATTTTGATCATATAAGGTGAGTACCCTGAAATACATTCAGCCCTTTTACATACCTATGATTTCCTAACATTACAGTTTCCGTTGCAACTATTTAATCATTAGAATAAGTAATATTGTATTTAATTTTGTTTTAAAAATAATGTATCTTTTAACATTTGAATTATTCTTTTCTGATAATCAAGACATAATATTCAATGAATTAGACACTTTGCATTTATTTTTTACTTTAATATACTACTACTACTAGTAGTGGTAGTAGTACTACTACAAAAATCGTCTTTTCGTCACGTTTTATACTCCTCACTCTCAAACTTTGGATATGGAAATTTCTAAGGAAATAAAGAAGATCAATTTTATTGATCCATGACTTCTTGGAAATTTTAATTTAATCTGGTGAGAAAATATATATTTTTAATATGTAACCTCTTCATCAGTTTCATAATAATTAGGCATTCAGATAGAGATCATTAAACTGATGAAATGTATATATTTTCTAATGTCAAACATCAAGAAATCGCTTTAGGTAACATTTTATAAACAAACCTGTTAAAAAAATATTAAAGCATATATTATCATAATTAGGCGAATGATAAATAAGGACTATTTTTGTAGTTAAAGAGAATTGTTTGAACTATTATATGTGTTTCTAAGGTTGTAACTGTAAAGGAATTCTTTGTCCGAAGTATTATAGGACCTCATGCTGCACCTGACTTTTAGATTGTAATTTCTTCGTTCTAAGAATTATGCCTATAACAAAAACCAAAGGAACTGGACCTTAGAATTGGTAGTTTTGTGCGCATACTCTGTTTAAAAGACCGGAGCTACGAAAAATTTATCTATATACTGTTCCATAGTGCTATATATAATTAAACAAGTAAAACTAACCAATCAAGATAAAACTAGAAATGTTACAGTTTGTCAGGCTGATCAATGTTTTTCAGAACTGTATTAATATTAGGGATTATTTCATTTGGAACGAATAATCATCTGACAACATATTCACTGTTTACTGTCTTACCGTGCGTGGTGATGTTTATCTCATTAAACTTTCAAGTAGTATTTTGTGCATTGTGCACAAAAGATGAAAAATTATTATATCAGATATGATTAAAACTTACAAGAGAAAGAAAGTTAAATCAGGATAAAATTCTGGACAGCAAGGATATGATTTTACATTCCTTAAGGCTGGACGTGCAATTACTTCCCATTCATTACTTTCTGTATAATCACTTAATAGAACTTGTGCTTCATTATTAATAAAAGTAACATCTAACTTATTTCCATCATATGTCCAAGATCCAAATTTCAAATGACATGTTTGTTCATCAAATGGAAACGATTTTATATCTATTTTACATGAAGATTTAAAAATTGCAGGTGGAATCCAGGTTAATTCTCCAGTATGTTGTACGATAACCATAGCATCACGCATTTCTTTTAATCGTTCATCGGCACTAGAATATAATGGAATAAAATAGGAAACTATATCAGTGAAAAGTGAAATATGTTTTAATAGGTGTTTGGAATAAATGCAGGTTGCTTACTATTTCGAAAAACCTATTTACTGGATGCAAAATGTAAAATCTTTATTTAATTGATTGTTATTAAACATTGATTATCATTTTCTTTTTATAATAAAAATTTAAGTCTTGTTTAAATCTCGTAAGTTTTTCCGAAATATTAAAACAGCATCATTGGAACTAATTATGAGTATCCCAATTTTAGATCATTTAGTGAGAAACCATCTATACAAATTTCCAAAATTTAACTTATTTTTATGATGAGTCGACGATCGTTCAGCATCTTTAATGATATCTGTATCATTGAAGACATTACTGTATTCAAACAGTTATGTAAAATAAGTTATGTTGATGTGTTGGACTTGGCATTTAACTTTCAGACCACGGAGACAGAATCCAATGATTCCATATGTCTAACTTCTGAACGTACGCTATTGGACTATAGATCTGTGTTCTAAAGGTTTAGCTCTCTATCTTTTTTGGGATCGTGAATATATATTTTTAAGGAGTCTTATAATATGTCTAACCTGGTGTCCAATGTTTCTTGGTTTACAATAGTTATCTAAACAAGGTGAATTTAATGAACTGATTTTAAAGAGGATCAACTGATTATTCTAACTTACTAGTTATATAAAACAATATCTGGTGTCCAAATATGTCTGTATGGAACACGAACTTCTTGAATTTGTGAGTAATTTTCTGGATTCCATTTCAAAATATGATCAGTCCAGCGCTGCAAATGTATAATAAATAATCATATATGTTTAAATTACATTCAAAGATATAAATATTCAATAAGAAATGCATTCGCTTGAAAATCGTTCATTTACAGCCAGTTACAATTCATTACAAAATTTGTAGATCAAGCAACGCAGCAATACGACATTTGACTGCATTATAAATTATGTAAATTGTGTATGGATAACTAAATAGGAGATCTAACTCTAAAATACTTTGCATATTTATAACAACATAATAGGTTTCTATTTAGTGGACAAACTGTTTCATATTCATATATCCATATACTTAATCAAATGAATTCTTATAAACTCTGTAATAAATTGACTTGATTGTTTAAGGATGAGTATTTTAGATTACTAAATAAACATAATAAAGATGGAAAGAAATGGGTTTTAAAACTTTTTTTGTAAATAAGAGTTTTTGGAATGCCTCATGAATGAATATTCAATGGGTATGTTCTTCAGTGCCCAAATGCCCTGGTACGGCCGAGAGTGGAGAGAGTCCGCTCTCCCTCTCGAAATGCTCTCATATGGTAACGCGTATATAGCTTCTGCCAGGGAAGTCCTACTCACTGCCTTCTCGTGGCGGGGGTGTTGTTTACGAAATTGAGAGGACGAAAAGCGAATGTCCATCGCTGTAATCGGATCGGTGGATATGGAGCATCCACCTAGGGAAGTTGGAAAATCCTGATTCCAAACCAATGGTGTACATTGGCCCCAGGATCCTGAAGTAACAAATGGCGTATGAACCAATTGTTGGTCAACGGCTATCATGGGATTGCATGCCCCACTGCCTTGTGGATCAAACCTTTGGGTCAAAGGTTCCGGGAGTGGCTCTGCAAGGAAATCACCTACTTCAGTTTGAGCACCTAGGTAGTATCACAGCCCTCACACAAATCAAATAAGATTTGTGAGGAGCATATGTATCTGGTGCTTCCTTGTACCAATATTTATGTGTTTAAATAAATAAGTAAATAATGTTCTTCAGTGAGCATACTTTCAGAATATACATTTTAAATACTTACGTAAAAATGTTTCTACTATTTGAACCTATTCGTCAAATGTAATTTTATTATATTTTTGGTGTTTGCCGTTTGTATTCACAACTTTTGAAAATCGTTCAGTGTCTTTCATCGTCTTGTAATAACATTCAAGCAAGAGATAGTGCTTTAACTAATTGATTAGTTATTTTAATATTTTGATCATAATCTATCTGAATAATTAAAAGTGTTATTATATTTAGGTGATAATTTGTTTCATGGACTTATAAATGCAGATAAAATATCTTTGGTGTATTGATAAAAATGAGCTATAGATAAATTTTCAGTAAGCTTCCTAATCTCTTGTTATAATCTTCATCAGTAGTGGTTATAATTAATTAAAAGCTGAAAACTTATCACTTCTCGATTTTGTCAACAGTGTTGTTAGGTATATGGATGTCTATTGATAAAAATGTTCAGATCAATATAAGTGTTTGATGTGAACAAAACTGTTAGGACAAAATAGAAAAAAACTCGAAGTTTGGAAATTATTTCCCATGATTTAACATGAATTACTTATCTCCACAAAAATGGTCATAATCAGTAGGGGGGTTTTGTGGAGATTTTAGTAATTTTATATAGTTGCAATCATGAATCAATTGAATCTAGACCGCCAAGGAAAAACCTGGAAGCACTGGACGGATGTTTCGTTCTATTGTGAGGCTCCTCAGTAGTGCGCATCCATGATCCCGCCTCACGTGATTTGAACCTAGAACTTATCAATCTCGTGCGCGAGCACATAAACTCTAGACCACTGAGCCGGCGTCTGATGATGTTAGTGTTTAACTTCAACCAATCCACGAAGTTGAGCAACCATTCACCAATGTTTTCAGTGAGTTGATATCTCCCAACAGACCTGGTTGAACTCCACTGGTTACTGCTTCACAATTAAGTGTTGAACCAATTTACAACATAATATGATTTCAAATATATATATATATATCATTTTTTGTTATCACTAGTCCTTTTTTCTTCAGTCAAGTTGACCTTATATAAAGTACCAATGTCAATTTTAATGAAGTCAAAAACAATTTAGTAAAGTAATCAAACCAATTCAGTTTAGTGATCTGAATAATTGAAACTATTCAACCAATTATACAATACAAACAAAATTCATCCTACATTATATTATCTACTAAAGAAAAAGTCTTTTATTTCCCTGATTTACTAACTAACAAAATATACTTTTTTGTTTGTCTAAATTATTTCTTTAAATAAACAGTTCACAATTGCAGAATTCGCAAAAAGAAAAAGAAAAAACTTCTTTTCAAAAAAAACTTTTCTTCGTGTTCCTTAACTCATTTTTCTTGTTTAGTCCATCAATATAAAAAACCCGATAATCAACCAACACCAATATCTGTTCATTATTGAACCAATTAATCAGCAACAACAACAAAGACGGCAACAACAACACCAGTAAAACAAAAATCTATAAAAATTAACGATCAAATTTAGGTCAACTAAAAATTTATTTATTTATATCTGTAGGTAATTGAAAATGTAACTGTTTGTTAGTTGCATAATTCAAAAGGGAAAAAAAAGTAATTCATTTATTATTTTAACTCAATATTCAATTAATGAGTAAGTTTATGTAATAAGAAGAAGGAGAAGAAGAAGACGTGTTCTAGTTTTTCAATTCGATTCTTATTGTATCAAGTGTTGATTTGAATGGTGACAATGATGATGATGATGATAATAATTGTTATTTCCAGAAGAAGTATTTAATATGACAAAGAATAAAACAAGTTAATCATCAAAAGAAAAAAACTAATAAAGAGTGATAGAAAACAATCAAATAAAAAAATAAACAAAACCTCACTTATTTTGTTTCTTTGTTAACATTTGTTTACTGATTGGATTAATTACATAGGAAATAAGATAATCAATAAACTTATCAATGATTCACTAGATAAATATGTTATAACATCTAAGTCTATATCCTAGTTACTTATGACAGATTAAGAAATATAAATCAAAATCAAAATGACACATTATTACATAACTTAAGTAAAATATTTTGGATAATGTAATAAGAAGACGTAGATTATCAGAAATTCAGATGTATATTCTTATCTATTCAATGAAAACATAGTAGTAAAGTGATTTATAAAAATTATGTATTATATGGAATACAAGATTAAATTTGACATTTTGTTAATCTTAGATAAATTATGGTTAAAATTAGTAGTAATATAGTACGTTTTAAAGAAAATATTTTGTTGAATTTGAAAATAATGATTGATTATGAACTTGATTCAACTAAGAAATGATTATAATCAGAAAAGATTTTTCGTGATTTAATATTTTCATAGTTGAAAGCATGAGTCAATTGAAGCTAGACCACCATGGAAAACCTGAAAGCATTGGACGGCCGTTTCGTCTTATTTTGGTACTCCTCAGCAGTGCTCATCTAAGATCCCGCCTCATGAGATTCCAATCTCGGACCTATCAGTGTCGCGTGCGAGTTCTTAACCTCTAGATCATTGAGCCGGCATTCAGTGCTCCCAGGTTCTCCATCGTGATCTAGCTTCAATTAACTCATGATCTCAACTATTGAAATTACTATAATATCCACAAAACCTCTTTTGATAAAACCAGTTGTTAAACAATCTAAACTAAACTAAAAAAACATCCTATTGATATTATGACACTTGTTTCATTTATAAATAAAGCATGAATAAATGAAAATATGAAGAAACATATCAGCGTTTTTAATTATGTCGTCAAATAAACCTACAGAAAATAATTGACATCTTAATTATATAGAATAATTAAAAAAATAATAGTTCAACAACTATAATAAAGATCATTATAGCAAAATCTAATCATTATTACATCACACATTTTGTGACTATATATCTATACTCTTATATGGTGAATAAAGGATTGATTATATACAGTAAAATGTTGCGTTTTGTTATTATGGGTCACAGTAAAAAGATATAAATAAGAGTTTATATCAAGAGGTTGAGAGGATAAACGGTAAGCACAAGTTTATTTTCATTCAAGTTCATTATTGTATAATTAATCACTTCTGTTTAATAATTGCTTAATTATTTGCTCAACTTTACACACACACACACACAAAGAAGAGAAAAAGATTGTTTATTTTCTATTAAAGGAACAGTGTTTATTTATAAATAATTAACCATAGTTTCTATATGTTAAAAAAAGTTTTGTTTATTCTTGACTTATTTGCTTTGTTAAACTAGATTTAACTTTCTCAGGTAGGTATGTGTGTGTAATTACTCTATACATGTCAAAAACGTGATGATACATACTTTCTAGTATACTAAATTAGTTTATAACTTAGAAAAGGAGTAAATTGTAGATTAGTTGCTCAATACTAACATGATGACTATTAAATCTAGTAATCTTATTGTATCTTTGAATAAATCTATTATGCGTCTAGTAAAGACCTAACTGTCCTGAGGCCCAACTTCATCAGTGAATTATTTACTGTTATTACTTTATAAACCTATGAATTAATTGCGATTAAACTTTTACAGATAATGATTCTCCATGATCTTCACACTTAAAAGAAATAAAGATAATTTCAAATAAAAAACACTTTTCATATAAGAAACAGTCTTTTTGATAAAAGATACCTAGTCAATTACTCAATTCAAAATTCTTTCACAGAGTCGTATACCATGCTTTCTCTAAATATTTATGTAAATATTATATTTATCACGTTCAGATGCATTCAAACATACAACAGATTAAAGAATGGAGAAAAATTTATTCGTTTTTCAAAAATAAGAAAAACCTCTTTACTATTTATTTTCACAATATGAGAAATAATCACTGAAAACTGAAATTTATTTATCGATTACGTTTACTGCCAAAATTTATTCGAAGGATAAAGGGAGATAAATCCCAAGTTACCCAATCGACTGTCATTCAAAAATCAGATGGTCAACGGCTTTTCCGCTGATTATTAGTGGCTCACT